ACATGTGCTTGTCAATGCAACACTGCTCTCTCCCAACTCAGAGCACTCTGTGATGTGGAGGTGAGTTCCTCAGCATCCACATGCACCCTTGCCCATGAAGCTTTTGTTTGCAATGAGCAGCCAAGTTCTGTCCTTGCTGGCAGTGGTGAAAATAAAAACACTGCTTGCTAGCTCTTGTTCCCTTTCAATTCTAGGGGATCTGAAAACTTTGTTTACCAAGAAGAAAGCATTAATTTTTTTTCTTTATGTTATTTTTCGTCTGTGCATGCACAATTTTCTGTGAATACACGATATTCTTTGCATTCCTAGTTTTCATAAACCCAAGTGATTTCAAATGCTTTCTATAGTGCTTTCTGTATGTAATCTTCTGTGTGTCTTGAATTGCTCATTAAAATGATGTTTGGGCTGTATTTTGTTGGCTTCTTATAATATAATGAAATATTAATCCCTTTATCTCACAAGAATTATTTTGTATCCTGACACCCAAGATGCTGGCTCACAACTACCTGATTTTATAGGTGCTTTCCCACCTGACAAGTGCATTCTCTGTTCTGAAGGTGACATGTTGCCTGAAACACACAAACTCTGTGTCCCAGAGAGGTGGTGGTTCAGTAGGCTGCCAGCCCAAATTTAAGGGCTTAGCATCTCCAAGGGGGCTGGGATCAGGACATGGGTAGGAATAAAACCAAGCACAAGCTTGAAAAATGGATAAATCATACCAAATAATTTCTTAAATACAGTATATACCCTCCTGCCTTGTTGATCATTGCAGATTGTTTCTTCACTGATGGGTTTTTATAATCTGAACAGGGTGGTTTGCCAAAATGCTGTACCAGGTGTTTCCTCCAAGAAAAATTGTCTCAAGAAGTGAGCTCATGTGATGGGAGATGCAGAAGAGAGTTAATTGGTTACAAATCAGGCAGATCTAACAGATTATCCCAAAAAATAAGAGTCAATATTCATGAGGAGACCCACACTTTCTAAATGTTTTAAATGTTATTTTTCCAAATGTTTAAATTGAAAAGGAAACAAAACAAAAAGTAATTTATTGATTTGGTTTTGTGTTTCTTTCTTTGGTTTTTTTTTTTTTTTGGTTGTTTTTTTTTAGTGCAAAGTGATGGGTTTCAGATGCATTTGCAATTTTATTTTATTGAAAGGTATGCCATAAGGGAGGGATGTTTAGCATCCCACATTTTGGGACTTTATTGAACTAAAGGCAGCAAATCATTCCCTGAGCAGAAAACCACACATTTTTCTGCAACAGCAGAAAACCTTTTAATTTTGTTTGCAACAGCAGGCAATTTTTTAATCCTATTCTCTGGGCAGTAAAACACTTTTGCAGCACTAGAGCTGCAAAAGGGCAAAAAAGCATTTTTTGTTTGGCTTTCCTGCTCTTGGAGAATTAGTCCATATTTTGTATTCATCAGTCATCAGAGGTTTTCTTCTGAGCCTCATGATCTGAACCTGCTAAGTAAGGCAAATCCAGATTAGAGCCTCTCACCACAGAAATACAGGAGAGATCAGGAGGGAAGAGGTGGGAGGAAGAGACAGGCAGGAGGGGAATACCAAATCACCACACTTTATTTCTTACTGTATTTTTCAATTCAGAAGTCCCAAAAAGGGTAAAATTTTACATTTCTGCCAGAAAGGCAATTGGATATTTCTTCTCCTTGGGCTTGTTTCTCAGATCAAAAACAGCTGAATAAGTAGGGAGTGGACATGCTGGAAGGAAACATACAGTATGGTTTTAGCTTTAAGTCGTCCTTATTTGTGACAGTTTGAAGGTCCCTCAGTTAAGGGTGCCTTGGAGGTAACTCCAGTTAAGCCAGTTTCAAACTGAAGAGTCAGATCTAAACATCGTTTGGTTTGGTTGATCTGAGCATTTTTCCTTCCTTTAGGCTTCTCCTGCCTTGTGTAGCATCAGAGGAGTTTTAATCCTCCAGACAGCTCTGTGTGAAATATTCACCCCTTTTTGTGCTGAAATAGCAGAAAAGCTTCTTGGCTTACAGTGTTTTGCTCAGAGACATCTCTGGCTTCTTGAGATGGGACCTCTCATTGTGCTGAGCTCCCTGAATAGTCCTGGCTGCAAGGATGCCTATGAATTATTGTTCTTATTGTTACATTTAACACAAGCCCAGGCACTGACCTCTCCCTCCTGGGTTATATAGGTCCCTGAGGCATCAAGGGTACTTTCCAGTCTGTGAGATAAAACTGGCCTTGAAGGAAGCCAATTATGTACATCCAACACTCTCCTCTGACTCCTCCTCTCCAGCACTGTGGTCTTTCTCCACCTTTGGATCTCTCTGACCACCCCAACAACTTTCAGGCAGCTCCAGCATCCTCCTTCCCATGCCTCCCTGAGATTTTTTCCTGGCCAGCCATTTTCTGCCTTTTCTGTCTTTCAGAATGGCATCACAAGCCAGGAAGGTGATGGGCCAGCCCAGCTCTCAGGTAGGTGTGTCTCTGGCACAAGGGACATCACTTCGACAGCCCCAAAAGTGTAAGAGCAACGCCTCTGTGGACAGTTGGGAACACACCTTCTGACATGGCTTCTCAGTGGGGCAGAAGTGTCTCCTACTGACCAAACCCCTCTTGTCAGTACCAATATCTGCCATCCTTGGTTGTGACCTTGCATCCTCCCCTCTCCATTTCCTACAACCCCAAAATATCCCACATCTCCACAAATCCTCTCCCTCCCCTCACTGCTGATTTCCACCCCAACAGCAACATCTTCGCTCTTCTTCCCCCTGCATTGAGATCTCAGCTCCTCATCCTCACCTCGGGAGACCTCCCCCAGCCCCACAGCACACCATGCTGTGACTCTGGAGACATCTCCATCACTTCCCTCTGGCACTGATCTCCTCTGGGATGTTTCCATAAGGTCATGGCAACATTCCTGAGATCTCTGTGTGGATGGCCACGTAAAAGGAAAGGCAGAAGAAAGGATAGAGAACAAAACCTGGAGCTAGGGTAAAACTTGGATGGTGATGAATTCCAAGAGAAAAGGGTGGGAGACACATTTCTATTTGTTTCTGATTTTTCTGGTGCAGAAAATCTTCCTCCTGCTTGGGCACCTCTGTCCTTAACTAAGAACAAAAGAAAAAGAAAAATAGAAATCATAGCATGTGACCTGTTTTATTGGACTGCATTAAGTATGGGATTACAGGAGTGTTTAGAATGCTGAGAAGGGTTCCATTAAATTCTTCCTTGATGCTGCTTGTTTTCTAGGAATGGAAGGGATTTGCAGGGGGTTATTCAGATTAAGAATCCAGTGGAATCCTTGCAGCCTTGGTCAGGACAGGAGGCAGAAAAAGGAAATAAACCCCAATGGTGACCTGGTATTGTCAGTTGATACATAGTTTTCAATTTTTTAACAAGTTTTTCTTGTTAAATGCACTTTTTGCAGTTTCAAGAACAAAAATGAAGTGTGTGTGATTGCAGGATTTTTGGTGGCTGCTCTCAAGTGGGGAGTAGAATCTGAGGAAAAGAAAGAAATGAAGGGAGGGAGAAAGAAGAAGATTAAAGTATCAGGGCTCTGTAAGGGTGAACTGAGCAGATGGCTTCCTGCCACCTGAAACTTCCACTCTGCAAAATCCCATTAAGTGCAAAGTTTAAAGAAGTTCTGGATATCAAAAAGAAGCATCTATTTAGAGCCTTGATCACCTGCCAAATGTGGCTCCCCCAAACCCCAATGGATATTTCCAGCCCAAATCACATTTCCTTTTCCCCATGTCCTAGTCATGCTCCTCTTTCCTAAGAAGATGGTCTCATTTGTAAAACAAAATGCACAGTGACCCTGCTACCATAGCTGGTGACTGGTCATGTTCCCATGCAGAGATGTCTGGGACTAAACAAACCAAATTGGAAGCAGGACTCCTAGAGCCCAGGTATGGTGAACCCTTTGGATGAGTCCCTAGACATTACAAATTTATTTCTAATTTATATTTCTAAACTAATTATTAAAGAACATATTCAGAGCAGGCAGCAAGCAGCTGAGGGGCGCCTGCAGTGCCAGGTGTAGATGGAGCTCTGGTGGCAAGAGCTGGAGGCAAGAAGCCACTGGTGACCCTCTGCAAAACCAAAGGGCACAGGGACCTGTGGCACAGACAGGCACATGGACACTCCAAGACACAGCAGGAGCCAAGGACTCAGCAAGAAGAGCCCAGACTTTCCCATGCACTCACATAATAAGGGCACAGAAGCCAAGGGTTTATTTTCTTGGAGATTCCTTGTCACTTTTGGAGGCTCTCACCCCAAGCTGTTATTTCATTCTTGTATGATTAAATTGTTTGAAGGATCCAGATGTCTGAGGCTGTGCTGTGGGAAACCAGGGGTTGAGGCAGTAGGTAAGCCCAGTCTGACTGGGTGTGGAGTGTGGAGCTGCCAAGGCTCAATCCCAGCTCTGGTGGTGTGAGTGTGACTGCCAGAGTGGCTCCTGGTTTCTTTATATTAATTAGAAATATTTTATAGTTCCAATACACATTTCTAATGGAATTTATTTAATTTCTTTTGCACAAGTGGGCTATGGCATCATGCTGCTGAGGGTGCCTGGCGTCATGCTGGACCTTTCTGATAAACTCTGCTTCAGGTGGTGAGAAAAGAGCCCAAAGCAATTAAAAACATAAGAGCACAAAAAAACCTGTGTTCATTTATTGATCTAGATGGATTATATTTTAAAAACCATATGCCTTCATCACAAATTATGGCTCATTGTCCCATTTCAAAATGAAAATATTGCAAAGGAAATAATTTCAATAATTAAGAACTGCCTGTAAATATCTGTATAAACTGGCATCCATGCCAGACTGAAGTGTTATTTTTGTGCTGAGGAGTTTCAGTTGTCCACAGATGAGATTTTTTTTCTTCTGTTTTATATCTGTTATGTCTTCTACATGGAGAAAAAATGAAAAAACCTGGCTCTACAACCATACAATAACTGGGAAAATCAAGCTCTTTTCCCTACACTATATAGACTTTGTGTTAACTGTGACTATGTTGAGGTTGTGAAGTAGTTCCAGAGAAGGAGGAAACTTGGAGCTTGGTCTCCATGGTTTCACCTTGCTTAAGGCACCTTATATAAATTCCAGGTGGCTGTCTTCTGGGACATTGTATTTAGCTTTGTGCTTCTCAAAGAGCTCGGACAACTCTTTTAGGTATTTTTCATGGAGTTGATCAACTTCTTCATCAGAGGGTTTGTGCTTCTTCTGCACTGGAATTGGCTTCCCAACTGGAAAAGAAGTACAGGTGTTAGGAAGAGCCAGTGTCAGGCATCTCTGAACACTTTGCTCACCCTAGCCCAGAGCTGAGGTCAGCCCATCCAGGATGGACAGGTCAGCGTGCCCAGGTATTTCCTAGAGCCTGGGAGAGAGCACAGCCAAGGAGGGATGGTGGCTCACATCCTGACCAAGCTCTTGGTCTCCAGGATCACACTGGTCCTTGCCTCAGTTTACCCATCTGCAAAGCTGGCTAATGTCAAAGACCCTCTGTGTAGTCTTTTGAAGTAAGAAGTGCTGTATCCCAATGCAGTCCCAAGAGCTGCTTCTCACATCTCAGATGTGCTGCAGATAAACACAATGTAAAGACAGGATAATATTTGGATTGGGTTTTCCAAGTTGTTTCCACATGGCCCTGGGAATCTGCATTGCAGATTGCAGATGGGGAAAGTGAGGAACAGGGGAGCCCCACACTATTTAAATACACTTGCAATGAAGGTGCTTCCACTTTGCTCAGATTAAAGATTCTGTGAAATATCTGATTTTTATTAGGAACCAAGTACCTACTGATCTTTTAAAAATCACATTTTATTCAGCAGCAAATCTAGTTATTTTGATTCCTGTCTTTAGAATAGCCTTTCCATCTCCCAGAGCTATGAGGAGCAGGGGACAGTGAAGATCCATGAGGTAGTTTTGCTCTGGTCTCTTACTCAAATTGTTTTTGTCAAGTGACAGAGGGTTTCAACATGTTATCAGGCTATTCTTCATCCAATTAGTGAAGAGCCCATGTGATACTACACAGCTCATAAAACCATTGAGACAATCCAAACAGGTTCTAATACAATTAGAAGTAATTGCTCATTGTCAAACTTAATCAGTGGTGTAAGCTCTAATTCACAGAGTATCAGCCACATCGGTGGACCAAGCATGGAGATGTTAGAAAACTTATTCAAAACCAAAGATTTTCTTGAAATCTGGTCTCCCACGGACATGGTCTCTGGCCAAAATGGTTCATCTTCCTCACATGCAAGTAGGTTTGGATTTGCATATGTGTCTGCACAGAACAATGAGCAAAGCTGCAAACTGCTTGAGTGTTTGGAGAATCACAGAATGGTTTGGCTTGGGAGTGACATAAAGATTATCTCATTCCACCCCCCTACCTTGAATACGGACACTCTCCACTAGACCAGGCTGCTCTAAGCCCTGTCCCAGCTGCCTTTGAACACTTCTAGAGAAGAGAGGCAGCCACAGTTTCTCTGGGCAACCTGTGCCAGGGCCTCACAGCCAAGAATTTCTTCCCAATATCCATTTAACCCTGACATCTAGTTACTCCATGCCCTTTTCCAAAATCCCCCTTCAAATTCCCTTCAAATTTGCCCTTTCTTGGAGGCCTTTAGCCGCTGGCAGAGGCTCTAAGGTCTCCCCAGAGCCTTCTCTTCTCCAGGCTGAACATCCCCAGCTCTCCCAGCCTGTCTCGCAGATGCTCCAAACCTTTGGAGCTTCTCTATGGTTTCCAGCACCTCCATGTACTTCTGATGCTCTTGCCCTAGAACTGGAGGCAGCACTGCATGAGAGGGTCTCACCTGAGTGGGGAAGAGGAGCAGAATCCTCTCCCCTGACCTGCTGGTCCTACTTGTCTTCGTAAAACTGCCTTGGCAGATGTTTAATGCAACCCTACTGCAGTGTTCTTTGTAAACACATTGTGGTGTTGGGGCTGTCTGCATCTCACAGGAGCAATGAGCTTGGCCACATTTGCTCTGGGGCTTTTCACAGCACAGCCCAGATGGGCTGGGATCTGTCATGACATCAAACCAGATTGCCAAAACAGTGAGACACAAGAACAGTTTGGAACGCTGCTTTGCAGCACATTTCTAGCCTACCACAGCTTGTGCTCTCTGGCAGAGGCTCCAGCCTGGCAGGAGGATGACACAGCCCAGGGACTGTCCCTGTTTCCCCAGTGTGGCCGGCCAAACTGGGTTCTGTGGATGGACTCACCCACAGTGCAGATGGGCCGCCGGTAGGGAATCACCCCAAAGCTGTACTGGAAGATGCCTCGTGCATGGAAGAGGGGAAGGGAGATGCCCATGATCTGCTGGAGAAAATGCTGAATCCTCCGCAGCCAGGAGCCCTGGGGATTCTTCACCTGATCAAAGACATCATTCTCCCCAAAGGAAAAGGCAGGGATCAGGGGGGTGCTGCAGGGGATAAAAACCAATAGGGTGTCATGATTAGCAAAGTCCATTCCAAAACCCTTCATTCTTCTCCAAAACAGAAACACCCCATTAACCAGCCACAGAGCCAAGCACCCCTCCCTCATTATCCCTTGACTCCATCCCCTTCCTCACCCATTCTGGATGGCCAGGCGCACAAATCCCTTCCTGTTCTTCAGCAGCAAGGTGAAGGATCCTGGACGGGCATCCAGAGCCTCCTGGGCCCCACCAACAATGATGGCCAGCAAGTTCCCACCCCCTGGCTTCTGCAGCACGTAGGATGCACTCTCCTTGTCAGAAGGGATGAGGCCTGGAGAGCAGGGAGAAATTAAAAGTAAAGCCCACCTGTCTGTGGTTTGCTCTGCACCTTTTTCCCCCCATAATCTGTCTCTGAAGAGGTGCTAAAGATTTTATTTTCAGAGCTGAAAGCCTCAGGTCAACTCCCTTAAAAGGTGCTAGATGTGCACACAGCTCTGCTGGGTGAGAACACAATTATCTATCTGCTGTCTGGCTCAGAAGTGAGAAGTGAGGGAAAAATTTAGGAAAAAAAATAAGGATGGAAATAGCTGCACTTAAGTCCTAAAAAAAATCTGTTTCAATTTGTTGTCAAGTGAGACTGTGTCCAATTCTGAATAATTCTGATGTCAGAGAAACATTTGCTTTAGGTCAAAACACACACGTTTCAGTGGATGGTGCTAATTGAAAGTGGAATTTGATGAAGGATTTGGTCCTCTGGTATTGTTTACTTGAATAAGATAGAAGTCTTTAATTCAGAAATGACAAAGCAACATTGTTTTACAATATTTTTTAATTAAAAAAAAATCCTTGTTTCAGGGGCTGAAATAATTTGCACATTAAAACCTCATTGTGAAATGGATTCAATTGACCTGAAAATTAGTTATGCACCCAACTCTGACATTACAGTGACTAAACCTTCCTTCACCTGGGTCATAAGTGTCTCATATATCTCACTGTTTGGATTTTACACTCTCCATGTAAATACTCTGGCAGCAGGAGCCAGTTTATGAGGAAAACAGGGTAATGGATGCCCTGGGGTACATCAGATGGAACTGGATGCCTGTGTTTAGCCTACTGAATTCTGCCCACATTCAGCTGGAAAAGTGACCGTTGCTAAGCCCACTGCTGAGAGATGGAGGTCATCCTGCTGGTGTCCAAAAATCTCTCAAAACTCTCTCAGTTGAATTTTTACCTGTCCCTTTTCCTATTCTTTTCCACTACATCTTCCCCCCTGCCACATTCCATTGCAGCAGCATGAGCTACTATTTTTATCCTCTGTCCCTGGATGCTGCTTCCCTGGAAGCAGCAGATCCTTCAGAAAGAGCATCTTTTTCCTCGCAGTTTCAGGCCTGAATGTAATTTTTATGGAAAGAAATACAGGAACATCCTGGCCTGCAGCACTCAGCATTTCTGTTCACAATTTGCTCCACATTTTGCTGTTCCACAGCACCGCACAGTGATGCCCTGAGCACAGAGATCATTTATGGAGTTGAACAACAGGATAACAGCAAGGAGGGCAATTTTTAACTTCAGAGGTTTTGAGTTGCCATCTTGAATAGCTGTGTTCATGAATGGGATTCAGTTGGCCCCAGATGAGGGAAAACAGACCCTTGACTCCTCCTCCCCATGCATTTTCACTCTGTGTTCCTCAAAAAAGCACCCACACATATTATTGCTTGCCATTGGCCCATGCTCCTTACCTCCACTCATCACATAGTCCCTGAAGAACGGGAAGCGAAACCACAGGGAAAGCAACATCAGGTGGGGGGTGATGCCTGGGAAGAGTGTGGAAAAGCCGGATGCCTCTGTGCAGAAATTGATGAAGGCTCCAGTTGCCAGCACTCCGTGGGGATGAAATCCCACCAGGTAGTTCTGCCGGGGGTCCAGCTCTGCTGTCTTCACCAACTGGACACAGAGATGAAGCCAAAAAGTGGTCAGGGTCAGTGCTGTAACCTCAGCAGGGAGGAACACAGGCTATGCAGAACAGATATGGTGTTCCTGGAGGGGAGCATCATGCACCCACCATGCCTTTCTATTGGAAAAGGTTAACTGGAACAACTCCCCCATTTTTCACTGAAATGTATTTCATTGCCCATATTTCCATCTCCTGCTACCCAGTGGCCTAAAATGACTTTTCTAATGCACAGCTCATTATGTTGCCTTGAACTGGTCTAGGTGCTATTGGGAACCAATTTTGTTTAAAATGTTCTCCTATAAATTTTCTAATATGGGAGGGAAAGCAAGAAAAGGGTGATTTCTTCCACACAGTACCTCTTGATCCCACAACAAAAACAACAGAGGGAGTACATAATCACTTTGGTAGACCTACTACACAGCACAAGCACATATCCCACCCAACGACTTGGTGTGGATCAAAGGTTTATCCCATCCTGAAGCACGTGCCAGGTGATTCCTGGATGTTTTCACACATGGTAAAATGAAATCTAATTCCCAGACATCTAACAGAGATGGTTTCCTTGCCACTGGGGAAGGCCTGAAGGATGCCAGATGTTTGTTTGTGCCTGTGTTGGGTGCCCAGGTCCATCAAAGAGCAATGGATGTCTGCCCAAGGCTGTTGCATCTTTGGCAGGATGGAACAGAGAATTCCCATACCCAGCATTTTAGGGATGGGCAGCATGGATTTCAGATACAGGGCAGCTCATGGCCAGCCCTTGAGGGCTGACTAAGCAGCTTGTTAAAATCCTCAGCCAATCTGAAAGTGATATTCAAGCCTGGGATACACCACATGGGAGAATGGGAGATATACCACAGAACAAGAGGGGATGGTTAAAGGGAGATAAAGGACAACTGGGATTTAATCTCCATTGCACTTGTTATGGACTGCCCAGGGCAGAGGAGCTGGTGTGACAAACCCAGCCTCCAGCTCATGTACCAAGAAGACCTTGCCATGCCAACACCAGCCAGCATGTGCATAGCCCAGGCAGAATCAGGCAAAACTGACTGCTGAAATCTCTGCACCATTTCTGTGGATGCTGAGGACACTCAGAGCAGCAGGGAAGAATGAACTTTCCAAGGTTAGTCATCACATCATTTCATCACTGAAGGGGTGGTCAGACATTGAAACAAGATGATGAGGGAAGTGGTGGGACCACAGTCCCTGAAACTGTTCAAAAATATATAGATGTGGCACTTGGGAACAGATTAAGGGGCATTTACAATAGTGCTGGGGAATAGTTGGACTCAATGGTCTTAGAGGGATTTTCCAACCTGAACAATTCTGTGATTCTGTTATCAGGCAACTTTCCAGACAACTCATTTGTGCTCAAGAACAGCAAGAGCCCTAGGCATTTAAGTGTCACCCCTCCAAGTAGCCTGATTCCATCTGCACTCAGAGTGCAGCTAATGGTGCATGTGTTTTCCTAGAAGCTGCCAGAACTGCAGGTTAACCATGAAAGCATATTTTGCTTTCTTCCATCGTGACTCATTTTCCACCTGTCTGAAAGCACTGTTGACTGTACATGTGCCCATTCCAGCTGCTCCTAATGAGGGGAATGGACAAACCAAGTCCCACTACTGCCCAGGTGCAGAGGTCTCTAGGCAGGAAGAGAGGCAGATGGCTGAATCACTAAGTGCCCACCATTTGCTCTTTTTTGAGTAATCTCAGCCTGCATCAATCCTCAGCTTCCTGCATTCATCCTCAGCTTCCAAACAACGCTTAATCTCCAAGCGATTTATAAGCAGGGAAGCAAGATGTTCAGGCGTGTTAGAAACTGCTACATTTCTGGCTCTGTGCGTGCAGGGAGACACAAGAGGGCAGCCACTGAGCGGTCAAACTGCCTTGAAGGGAGAGTTTGCCTGTGCTAAGACACCACACATCTGTAAAAACACTCCCTAAGAAACATCCAGCTGCTGTCTCAGTGCTCATCCCAATGAAAGAGGAAGGAGAACAGGAAGGAAAGAACAAAGGTTAGTGCTTGGAGTGATGGAGAACAGGAAGGAAAGAACAAAGGTTAGTGCTTGGAGTGATAAGACAAGGGAGAGTGGTTTTAAACTGAGAGGGATGATTAAAACTAGCTATGAGGAAGAAATTTTTTATGATAAGAATAGCAAGGCCCTGGAACAGTTTGCCCAGAGAAGCTGTGGTTTCCCCATTCCCGGAGGTGTTCATGGCCAAGTTGGATGGGACTTAGAGCAACTTGGTTTAGTGGAAGGTGTTCTTGTTCCAACAAGAATCAGTTGTAAGGCCCCTTCCAACCCAAACCATTTTGTGATTCTGTGGTAAGATATGGTCCTGGGCAACTGGCTCTGGGCAGCCCTGCTTGAGCAGTGGGTTGGGCATGTTGACCTTCAGAGTTCTCTTGCAATGTCACCCAGTCTTTGAATCTGTGAGTTTGGATGCCCTGCTCTAAGCCATGGGCAGCTGGAGGGTAGCAGCTGAGTACCTCAAGTTTTGGTGGATCTGCGTGATGTTTCTGCAAGTGCGGTCCCCTGCAGTAGCCCTGAGGAAAGAAGGTCCTCATTTTGTCACAGAGCCTGCTCACGTCTGGATGATTTGGCCAAAACTCACAGAGAAAACCAGAGAGTTTGTACAAGAGTGAGAAGGAAATCTGTAGCAGAGTAGAGACTTCGGCAAAGTCTCTAGATACCATAGGTCTAGACTCTACACTATCCTTTTCCCTCTGGAAACTCTTCAATACAGAAACTCCATCTTCCCTTCTGGGTTGTTCCCACTGCCTCACTCCTTCCCCCTCCACCTGGCAGAGGTCAGTTTCCATTTCCAAACTTCCAGGAAGGTTAATAATGTGACTCTGCACAGCCTCCCCCTCCTGCTGTCCAGCCAAACTGCCTAATGGAACTGGGTTTGAGGTGACAAGGAGTGGGACTATCCTCCATCCTGCCTCAAATGAGTTGTCTTTTCCACACCCTCTGGATGGCATTCGCAATTCCAGTCTTTATGAGTGAACTGCACATTTAATAATTGTAAAAGTACTTAAGAGTCCAAACAAGCTGGTGTGTGCATGAGCATGAGAAAACCCAGAGTTTTTCTGGTGAAATAAGAGCAGTTTCTCATCTCAGAGGTGTCTGAGGAATGCCAGGTTAATGTGTATGACCTGTGGTCTGGAAGCAGCTGTTAGCAGCTCAGGGTTGTGCTCTCCAAGCTGAGCCATGGGTTTGTTGACTTCCTTGAGATTCCCTTTGGCATGGTCAAGATGCTGGCTGATGCCTTGGCTGCTGCCAGCAGTAATGTCACAGAGAAAACGAGGGCCTTTGTCAGGGTCGAGCCATTTGTCGGTGAGGGGAGACTCAGACACTCAATATGAGTGATAAGCAAATTCCGTTTATTGAAGAGAGCATCAGACACTTATACAGCGAGTAATAAGCTTATGAATATTCTGTAAGCTAAGCAATCTATTGGTTAAACTATGCCATGAACTCTTCCTCATTCCTTAGGGGTTACATCTCTCTTTTCTCATGTCTCTTTCACTGTTTGTTATTATACTACAGCTAAGCCTCAAAGACATGCTATCAACACAGGTACAGGACTTGGAATTAGCCATGGCTTTGTACTTTTCCAGTCTCTAGCAGCTAAATTCCCAACACAGTAATGATTCATTCTCAAAAGTGTTATGAAGCCTTCTGGATCCCAGGTGTGGAATGATCTTGGCCTTTCTAACAAATAAAATTGTTTAGGATGGAAAAGCCCTCTAAGATCATGGAGTCCAAATGCTCCCCCAGCACCCCCAAATGCACCCCAAGACCACCACTAATCCATGTCCCCAGCTGCTATATCCACATTAACATCCCGAATAGGAGACCTGATCAGCAAGCTCCTGGCTTCTTCATTTAAAATCTCCCAAACTGAGTTGCTACTGCTTTTCTATCCTTCTCTGGTCCCAAACTCTGTTTCCATGGATGTCATAGTCAGTAATCTGCTCTTAAGTAGGATAAACCTTTCATCTTTGTACTAAACAAATCCTCATGTCTGTAGCTCTCCATAGACACCTCCCAAAATCATCTCTTGCAGGATGGAACATGCAGCCAGTTTCTCTGTAAGAAGAAGCCCAACAAAGGTATCCAGGAAACCCAACCAGATCTGAAGAAGGACAAATTGTGCCAAACTGAGAAGAAGCAGGTCACCCAGCCAAGGGTGTCTGGATGGGAGACCAAAGGAAGGATAAGTTTCTGAGTACCATCAGCAGCTGCTGAGCAGGATGGGTTTCAGCTCCCAGCAATGGTGAGAGCTTGAGAGGCACAGCTGGAAACAGTGAGATCTTTGAGCCCTGGGGTTTTCTCCTGGTGGCACAATGTTAGGTCAGAGCTGCTTTTGCAGCAAATATTGGAGAACCTGACCAGCCAGGTGGATTTAAATTGAGTTTGGATGGGACCTCACCACCCTCACTCCCAAAGCAGGGTAAGGATGGAACCTCCAAATTGCTCAAGTCCTCCCTTCCTCTTGTAGGGCTTCCTTTATCCAGTCGATTAGCAGTGCAAATGGTGGGACACAGTCCTCCAATGGATCTCAGCCACTGCCCCCCTTGTAGTGGTTTTGGTTCACCAATTTCAGATTTCCCCAGTTTTGAGATTTTCCTGGCCAATGCACCAAAGAGTGTGGCGGGTTCGGTGCTGGCCAATCACCAGTGCACTCACTTCCTGCTGTGAGACAGGATTAGGAAAAAGGCAAAGCAGGCTCAAAACTTTAAAAGGGTGTAAACAAAATTTTATTAAAAGTAACTAAAAGAAAAAGGTAGTAAGAATCAAAACAAACCCTTCAGAACACTTCTCCTCCCCCCACCTTTTCCTTCCCACTGACAATGTAAAGAAACAAAACCTAAAACTTCCAGTCAGTTTACCACCTCTAAAATAGTCTTTCTGCAGAAGTCCTTCCCATTGCCACAAGCCTTCCCACAGCTTGTCAATGGGCCATGTCGACTTATGGGGTATTG